GCTGGCACATTAGGGGTATTCTCGAAGTCTTGCACGATGCACGGATTGCACGAAATGCAAAAATACTATTCCAAATTTCGAAGAGTACGAGAACACCCCATTGCAAAGTGGTAGCATGCATGGGGAGCAAGCAGCGAAATTATGTATCAAATACAATAACAAGAGACAGCAAAAAAAAAATTAAGTGAGCGAGATGAGAGGAATGAGAGAAATATGTAGCAATTCCAACAACAAAACAACTAGCACAGGGTCGCTATTATCTTGCTATGCTATTTTGCAAAATATATACATGGGTTTCGACGTTGCATATTTTGCAGCGATAGGAAATGTTGTTTCCCATGAATTTTCTTGTTGTGTGTTTGCAATTTATGCAATCCGTGCAATCCGTGCTACGTGCAATGGCTTTGCAAGATTTGGAGAATACCCCTATTGTATTTTTATTTATTTATTTATTTGTTACAGTCTTACGACTTAATAATACAACTATGATATTCGTACATACATATGTATATGAATTGTGATGTTCTTATTGCAAAAATTATCAATTAAATATAAAAGTAAAACTATATATATTAAATTAAATATGTCTATATTGGGCCGCATGAATAAAAATATGCAATTACCCCCTCCAAAATGTTCCGACCTTCCACTTCAATTTATTTGAATAATCGAGTACAAGGTCGGAAATTCCAAGAAAACGCAATTTCAGTTCCCAATCATACGGCAGAGCAGGCAAACTAGACAAGTGGTCTGAACAGGCAAGTTCCAGGTCGTATTGTTAGGGCAGTTGGAAAGGACTAGTTTCCAATCTGCACCTTCCCTTCACATATTATTGCTTCAGTTGTTAGGGCAGTTGGAAAGGACCAGTTTCCAATCTGCACCTTCACTTCTCATATTATTGCCTCAGTTTTTAGGGCAGTTTGAAAGGACTAGTTTCCAATCTGCACCTTCACTTCTCACATTGTTTCTTCAGTTGTTAGGGCAGTTGGAAAGCACTAGTTTCCAATTTGCACCTTTACTTCTCACACTGCTGCTTCAGTTGTTTGGGCAGTTGGAAAGGACTAGTTTCCAATCTGCACCCTCACTTCTCATATTGTTGATTCGGTACGATCAGGATTTCCGATGTTATACACGCTGTCTGAATGGACTAGATCCAGAGCAACACTGTTTGATAGGGTAGGAGGACGGTGCTTCGGGGATTGGTGTTTCGACTCTGTCAAGATTTGCAGATTCAGCAGGCTGTCTTAGTGGATTGGATCCAGAGCAACCCAGCCGGATGGAAAGGATTTGTTTCCATTCCGAGCCTCTATCTGATAGGTAGTGTTCGAGAGTGATCAAGTAATGATCTCTTGAAGCTGGCAATGCTTTCACAATTTCTTGTTTGTGGCGGCAGTTCGTTAAAACGCTTTAATATGTTCATTTTATCCACTTCTGTCCTATATAACGGCAATCTAAAGCTATTATTTTCCTAGAGTTTTTATGAATGAGTTTCATTTATATATCTGAGATTGTCGCTCAGGTAACCCGGCAACCGACCATTCTTTATATTGAATACGAATTTCATGGCCTGATAAAAAATTTGCTGCTTAACACTCAGCCAGTTCATATCGGCAAGCATCTCTCGTGTGGGTGCATCGTGACGCTTATTCAGTATAAATCGCATTGCTCTGTTTTGCATTTTTTGTAACTTGTCGATTTGTGTGTTGCTTGCCATGAAAAAGATCGTTGGACAATATATAAAGTGTGGTTCTATTATAGACCTATACACTAGTGTTTTATATCTTCTTCCTAGGTACTTACATGATCTTTTCATGAGACCAATTTTTTTAGCAATTTTATTTACTGCATAATCAACATGCTCATCGAATTTTAACTTATTATCAATGTATATACCTAGGTATTTAATTATTTTTACCTCCTCGAGCTTTTCATCTCTGATTTTTAAGCTATAGTTGAATGAGTTCGCATTAGCCACCCTAGATAAGACCATAAACTGTGTGTTTTTCACATTCACTTCAAGTTTGTTTAAACATAACCATTTATATAAGGAGTCAAGATCTTCCTGCATCTTAGATATGGCATTTGGTAAGTTTATGTCACTGATGGTTAGAAGCGTATCATCCGCGAATAGTTTTATTTTACAGTATTTCAGTACCGTATTTATGTCATTAATGCAAATTCTAAAAAGTATTGGAGCAAGAACATATCCTTGAGGCAGACCGATATTTACTGGAACCGTTTTTGACATTTTTGACTCAATCACTGTTTGTTGCTTAAGATCTGAAAGAAAACTTCGACACCAGGCCAGCTCAATGTTTTCTATACCAATAGCTTCAAGTTTTTTCAACATTCTAGTCCTGTCAATAGTCTCAAAGGCTCTTTTCAGGTCAATAAACACCGCTAAGACATTCCTCTTGGAGGTAAGTTCCTCCTTCGATTGTGACAGTACAAAGTTCAGTGCAGTCTCACAAGAATGCTTAGCCCTGAACCCTGATTGCTCTTTTATGAGTATATTATTGCACTCAATATAATGTACCAATTGTTTTTTTACAACCGTCTCTAAGATTTTTTTCCATATTCCGAAGGGTGTTAATTGGCCTAAACTCCTCAGCTTTTATCGCATTTTTTACTTTTTTCACTGGAACTATTGTCGAAGTTTTCCATTCGTTCGGTACAGTTCCAGATTGCAAACTCTTATTTATTAATAACGCGTAGAAACGGCCCATGTATTCAACTGAGTCTTTAATGACACCCTCCGATAGTAAGTTATTTCCACCAATTTTTCTCTTAAATTTCTTAACAATTTGGATGATATCTTCCGTACTAACTTCTTCAAATTTAAATGTCTTCTGAGATTTTGCCGGCTGGATTGAGTCATAACCAATCTCTTGTATGTTACTGTTAATCTCAATAATACTGTCCACAAAGAATTTGTTTAAATGCTCTGCGATTTCCCAGCTGCTATGGTATAGCGTGCCACTTATTAGCACTTCTTTGATTTTATCTTTGTTGTCTGCATTATTGACTAAATTTTTTAAGTACTTCCACATTAATCGACTGTTCCCTCTATTTTCTTCAACTTTGTGTTCAAGATGCTGTATTTTTTTAACTTTAATCAATTTCTGTTGATATTTTTTTGAGCTCAAGGCCGGGTTGAAATAAAACAATCTGTTTTTGTTGTTTTTAAATCGTCTATATTTCGACTTCAGTCTGAAGTCATCATCAGGACTGCAATAAATATCTTAATTACAAAAATTGCATAAAAGACTATCAACATTCTGTATATGGGTCGTTCTTAAAAAACATGACCAATTGGTGTCCCCAGACTTTACTATTTTATATTTTGTTTCTTCAAAAAGAAAATAGAAAAATATCTGCATTTTTATAAATTATTATCGATTCTACGTAACTGTATTATAAAAAAATAATAATTAATTATCTGAAAATAACTTAAAAAATATTTTCAATGTCAAAGGTTTAGCAAAAACCTGTGTCCCGAGTCAATTTATAAAAATTTAATAGTTATTTTCAGTTGAAATAAAATTGAAAAAAAAATAATATTTACAATTTTTGTTATTCAGTTTGTGCATATTAATACCATATATAGAAAAGAATGATGAAAAATAATTTTTTTGTATAATTTTTATGAAGAAAATTTGTGTCCCCAGGTTTTGGTCCCCTCTGTTACGTCCACTCATTTTATTGAAAAATGTTTGTTAAACGTTATGACGCGTATATTTCTCTTATGCTTCTCCATCATAACTTAGCTAAAATCAACAAAATGTGTTTTGAACTGTTCAGTCTTGTTTAGTGCGTTGTTGAGTAAGGAACCCAATTGTATGCCGGGTACGTACCCTTATTCAGTGTCAACTCTGTTACTGTTGAAAAACGGTGAGTAAAGTGATTTTTTATTTATTTTATAATTTTTTTATAAATATTTTATGTATATTAATTAAGTGGACAAATAAATTCTCCAAAATTCGAATAAAAAGCTAAAATATGGTATTTTTGAGTTAATTTGTCCCCTCTGTTACCGGTCCACTCTGTGACTTATTAACTCCAAAAATTAAAAAAAATACTGCTGGTTATGGATTCCTATTGTTGATACCATCCGTAACCACATGAGGCCAATTATAAACATATTTGGCCAACTTAATTTTTAAAAATTACAAAATTCAGAATGCTCATGTTTTTTAAGAACGACCCATATAAGCACAACTTACACATTCGGCTGCGCCTGGTAGACTAATGTGTTCAAAAATCAAAAGATTTAACAAACCAAACAATGAGACGAAATGGACAAAAAAATATAAACAAATGAAAGAACAGTAATTGTAAACAAAAAATCATACAAACAAC